CTCCTCTGGCGGACCCGAGACCTCGGAACATGAGCTCACCATAGAGCCCGCAGAGCAGACGAAAAACTTGAGTTTTTCGTCTGCTCTGCGTTATCACTGAGACCGTGGCGCTGTAACCACAGCGCCACCTGTCTCAGCTGTCAGGAACTACACAGAACATCAGTTCTGTGTTGGAGGGCAGGTTCCATAAAGAGAACCTGTCACCTCCAAACTATCACTTAGAGCCTTGGTTCTCAACTGGTGGGTCGAGACCCAAAAGTGGGTCGCGACACCATGTTCATTGGGTCACCGCATGCCTTTCACTTTTCTAGGCCCGTCAGCTCCCCCCTAGTGGTGCTGAGTGTCAGCTTGAGGTGGGCTGGGGATATGTCCACAAGAGAGCTCCATCTTTACGTGCATTGCTTACAGCTCCTTCTCGTGTCCTGTAGAGGTACCTGGACCGGAGTGACGTCACATTCTGTCTCCCGGCACCTCTACAGAGCACGCAAGGGAGCTGTACAAGCAATGAACATATTCATGGAGCTCCGTCACAGCACAGCAGCCCACACTGGACCCCAGGTTGAGTATCCACTCCAGTTCTTAAGGTAGGTAGACTGGGTTGATCTTAAAAAAAAGATTTTTTTTTCTGGAGTGTGTATATGTGTGAGATTGTGTCTGCGGTTGTGTGCGTCTGTTAGTGTTTTTGAGGGCCCGTTCACACTGTGCGTTATCACAGTCCCTTGTGACCTTACAACACAATCGCACCTACTGTGCATTCTGGTCTGGGAGGTGTATTGCATTGCCATTCATTTGAATGGCACCACAAACGCACCTCCCACCCACAGTTCGATCGCCCGCACCGGAACGCACGTTACTGCAATGACGTGCATTCCAGTGTGGTGCGACTTGGGTCACGACTTGATGACCACAGACAAATGTGGGTCCTGATGTTACACAGGTTGAGAACCACTGACTTAGCGGATTTCAAATCCCCATGTGATAGGAATAAAATTAGGTGGGGTAAAAAAAATTATAAAAAAGTAAAAAATAATTATATTAAAAAAAAAAAAAGTGACAATGTAAAAAATAAAATAAAAAAAATGAAAACCAGCCCCGATGCCCCCGCCATCTGCATGCAAATAAACGCATGCATAGGACATTGTGTGTGTGCGTTGAGTGCTGCCACCATTTCACTGTGCCATATTGTGGTAGCGAAGCGGCAGAACTCTCTCACATGCACAATGTGCATTAAAGGGCAAGTTCACTTTCCCAGGTAATATAGGAAAATGGATTTACCCGATCAGATCTGGCCCCCGTCTCTCTCAAAAACCCCCACCCCCCCGGCTATACTTACCTTTCGGCAAACAGTCCTTACCCTCCGCCGGTACAGGTGTACTGTCCTTACCCCGTACTGTGCATCGCAGTCCTGCCCTATGCATTTTGAATTTCGCTCGCAAATTGCAAGCACTCATTGAGAAGCGCTGTTTAGCACAGACCAATACAGTTTTGATTAGAGATGCACAGATACAGAGTATTTGGGCAAGTACTTGTACTCGCCCAAATGCTTGATATCTTCTCCAATACCGGAACTTCTGGTCAGAGGAAGATTTCCTCTGACCGGCAGTGCCGTAGGGGAACATGGTGCCAGCTTCCCATGCAATCAGGAAGCGGGGCAGCGACTAATGACCTTCCCAGCCAATCGGCATCGAGCCGGCTTCCTGGCCAATCAGGTCATTACTCGCCGCTGGGTTTCCTGATTGGCCAGGAAGCTGGCTCGATGCTGATTGGCTGGGAAACCGGCTTCCCAGCCATTCACATTCAAGCCGGCCAAACAACATGGAGTCGGCTTCCCTGGCAGTCAGGAAGCTAGGTAGCATCTCATTACACGCTGCCCGGCTTCCTGATTGCCCGGGAAGCCTGCTCCATGCAAACGGAAGCACCGATACTCGGTGAGTACCGAAAGCAAAATATCGGTACTCGTACTCTATACCCAAAAAGCGGTATTGGTGCATCCCTAGTTTTAATTAAAACGATTTTTTTTTTTGTATCAGGACAAGTAGAATGTTATGAAGGACAAGTAGATTGGGCCCCCGCTTTAGCCCTTGGACAAGTAGTTTTTTCAAAGATTTCCACACCCCTGTCTTTATGGAGACGTGAGGCGTCTCCAAGACCCCTAATGTCACCTAGGGACCCCCAGAGAAGCTGATGAAGCAAAGATCTGCTTCAGTGCTACTTAAAGTATAGGTCGCGACCCC